TAGGGTCGGAAGGGACCTGAGCAGATCATCTAGTCCGAAATTCGAGTTCAACGCTGTTCAGAATAATTGACAGATTTCCTTCTCTGAATTTAAAGGGTCACTTCAGGCTATTTAAGCAGTTGGGGCCAGAAGCAATTCAGCCTATTGTAGAAAGCTAAGTATAGGGAAGGGAACACTTAGTCAAATAGGGAACCTAGTTAAAACAGAGCTGCACCAGAGGTTTGCTGTCAGATGATTTATGTGCAAGCTAGAAGACTCTGGTGCTGGGGATTTATTCAGTCTGACAATGATTTAACATAGAACAAAATAAAAACTTCTGCCACAGCTAAGGTAATAAAAATTTCAAGCACACGAACCTCAAGACTAAGCCACTGACTCACCCTCTCCTAATTATCTCCAGAAAACACCCACTACTGCAAGGAAAATGCGTTTCTGCAGATGCCTGGTTTCTCAGGAGGTACACAAGTTCCAGTCTTTAAACTCAAATTTTTGTCCCATTTTACAACAAATGTGAAATAAGGCGGCTGAAATTGTCTGTTATCGCTATTTTTAGTATTAAGTTTATATTTCTAATACAAGGCTTCTGGTGTGGAAATTCCCCACATGTCATTTTGAGGTTCTATTGAGTTTGCCAACAATATATGGTTTCTCTTTTTTTTCTTGTTTTTGAGAGGCGAGGGAGGTAGAGGAATTTATTGTTTCAGGGGGAAAAAATAACCAGCAAGAACTGTTATTAGATATTATGCCTGCTTTAGTTTTCAAAGTGCCATCATCATCAAAATGGATGCTGAATTGTCTTCATCACAAAATCAGCAGTGCCAGTAAAACTGCAAACAGATGTGCAATGCTGATATGTTCCGACTGCTCCTAGAATACAATTCTCCCCTTTCTCTCTATGTAGAGGAGGGAGAGTAGAGTGAAATATAGATATTTGTAGTTGTCATACTTTAAACTGTATGTTTAAATTCTCCAGCTCTGTCCAAAAACTAGGACTCAATGTCATTGCTTCTGGCCAGGTCAGGAATCTCATGGCGAAAGGAGGGTGCTCTTGCAGAAGAGCCAGGTGAGAGCGGAGCTTCAAAAATAACATAAGCCACCCAACAAGGCTTTGATGGAGAAGAGAGAAAGATAGAAGACGTATGCGTGACCTGAACTGAAATACCAGTCATCGATAGATGAGAGTGTGATGCTTTGCCAGGAGGAAGCCTGCAGGAATCAGTAAGGAGGTTTCACTCTGGGCTTTGGTCCCAGGGTGCCTAGACAAGACAGATGTGGACTGAAAGTCTGGGGGAACGTTTCTCCTTTCACATAACACTTCAGCAGTTCAGGGGAAAGCCACAACATATTCTGCTGTTTTCTATGCCAAAACAGAATAAAAAAACAAGGCTTGAATAAGTGCCACCGTAATGAGCAAACTTTAGCTGTTTGACACAAGTTATACAACTTAATGTTAAAGATGTTCACTGAACATTTGGATTATGCAGCTGTAAGGAATAAAAAATATTGGATGAAAGAAGTCATTATAATAGTCATAGGAAGTTTCCTGTTACTAGCAAGTGTGCAAAAGGATTTGGTTCCTAATCGTGTAGCCCACAAAGCTTTATACACACAAAACCTGTAACTTCTGTGAATATCAGCCTGCTGTTACCTGTAAGCCAAATTATTTGTACGGTGCCCCACAACCACGCAAAACTACCCTGCAGGCAGAAAGTAAGTCAAAGTGTGAAGACAATAATTTCCCATTTAGAGTAAGGTTAAATATTATCAAGTATATATGCTGTGCCATGGGCAGACCAAAGCTAGAGCTGGCTATCAGGGAAACACAAACCGGGTTTGTCAAGGCATGGGAGGGCCATCATCTACTGCCAGTAGTCAAGAACAGCAACACAGCTATTTATCCAAACCCTGCTCTCCCACTGGGCCAGTCACCAAGCAGCTGATCTCTCTCCCACCCACTGGTCACATGCAGAGCTTGTAATGACAGTATCCATAAAACAATATTTAGATGAACATTGCATACAATCTCCGAGCAACAAATTTGCTCAAGAAGAGGCTAGTCAAGAAACTAGTAAACTCCATCAGAACAGAAAGTCCTGACAACTTGGGAAAATGAACAGTCAATTTGTAACATGACAGGAAAGCAGCTGCACTAGTACTGATGCTGTTTAGCATGCAATCTTGAGGAGTGTTGGTGAGGAACAAGGAGATAGAAAACTCTGTAGATGACAAAACATTTTAGTTGGGTCTAAAGGGAAATTAGGGAAATCTAAAAGGATGGAATTAAGCTAAGAGATTTAGATGGCAGGTGAAATTCAACATGGACAAGTACAAGGTAATTCTTACTGAAAGGAACAATATCAGCTACACAAGGGTACCAAGTTATATAGTGTTGAGATGCAAACAAGACAATAGGGTTACATTAAGAAGTCATAACTGAAAATATGATACAAAAAGAAATGGTAGTTGTCCTGAATACTGGTCCATTTTGGTCATCCCATCTAATACAGGGAGACTCCAAAATATACCAAAAAGAGCAATTGATCTGAGCTTTCAAAAGGCTTTGTAAGAAGAAAGATTAAAAGGATTAAGACAATTTAGTTGAGGAAATGACTAAGA